ATTGTTTTTTTTTTTGTTGATTTTGAGTGTGAGTGTGTGTGTGTGTGTGTGTGTGTTTTTCTTTTATAATGGCACTTTGATTATTTATATGCTTTTCACCATCGGCAATTGTCTTTAATAAATCTTCTTATGCACAGATTAACATAGAACAAAGAATTCATTAAAACTATAATTTAATTTTCATATTTATGTAACATATAGAAAATCAAAATTAGTAATATTCTGAGCCTGCATAGAAATTTTGAGAAGAAGGGATGGCATACTACTTCATTTATTATTTCCTCAAAAATTCATTGTCCTACAATCTAAATTGTTGATCACCTCTAATATGATTAACATAGGAATATATCTGATCAAATAAATCAATCTTTACCAATAGCTATATATAAACCTTGATAAAGATATATGCCACATTTGTCATGATACTTGAAAGAAAATGTGAAGGTGAATACTACAAAGAATCAATAATCCATATTATTTATATTTCTATAATGTACTTGATTTATGTTTGATAAACAGGTGGCATAATAGGAATATTAGATTGCTTAGTATCATACTCTTGTTTGTACTTTTCATATAAGATATATTTATTTCTATTATCTATCATTTTTCATACTAGAAAATTTCATTATTTAGATTACGAACTACTTAATATTAGATAAGTCTGAAATTTATTATTTCGTTGAATATCAATATATATTTCTTTTTCATTTTTAATTAAGATCAATGTTGATTAAAACATTTTGTTTTGTTTTTTTATATACAAAAAAAAAAAAAAACAAATATGATTATTTTCTATTGTTACCATTTGCCAACTTCATTTCGTTTTTTCTTTTGTCCACCTAATTCAAAACGTCGTGTACGTTTAATAGTCAAATGACGTTTATGATGACATTCACTACATTCCAAACGTAAGACAATTTTTCTTGTTTCTTTAGCTTTTTTATGAAATACAGGTTTTTTCTGGCCACCATAACCTTTTTGTTTGATATCATATCGACGTCGACCTTGAGCATGTTTACTTTCTTGAGCCTTTTTATATTGTGTTACTTTATGTAAAGTATGTTTTTTACATATTTTACCTTTACAAAATGTTCGACGTATTTTTGGAATATTTACCATTCTATAAATTAAATATGAAGTAACAAAATTTATCAATTTAAATTATTTTATTATACATACATTAAGAATAATCAGATATGTTGAGGAAAGATATACAAAAATTTTGTTTTGTTACATTGAGTATTTATAAGATTCGGAATGTTATTACGAAATTTTACTTGAAATTACAACACATTGTGATGGTTTTTTTTGACAGCATAGTCATTGCATAGTGAGTTATTTTTGCTTTTTAAATTCTGAGAAACATATAAACAGAATGAATGAATTTTTTTCGAATAAAAATTTAATATTCTATGAGTCATAAATATATATGTTTTCTTTTTGATTGTTCATTTGCTTTGATAATGTAATCATGTATTTGATTAATTTTAAAACACAGTATAGGAATAAAAATTGTAATTTTAGTTTTAAAATATATATTTATTGAAAAATTAACTATATATTAATTCAATGGAAAACGTTATTCGAATTCAATAAGATTTCATAAATAAAATTATATATTGGATTTTTATGTTTTTCTTTACTTTCCAATGAATTCTAAGTTTCAAATGATTAGATAAACATTTGAGAAAAAGAAAAGAATGGTATTGATATTAACAACACTGATTGCATAGATGAAAGTTTTTTATTAGCAAATTAATAATAAAAATTAATAGCGCTATGATGTTTTATATCATAATGATGTCTACTTAGAGCACATTTCCTTATGCGTTACCTCTCGTATGCTGTAATACACTATGTCCTGCATACTTTTTCTTTACAAAAAGTACATCGAGTTTTCGGTATGTTTAATATTTAATATCAATGAATTTTTATATACATATGTAATGACGAAATTTTACATGTACTTGTGACATAATAGAAAATGACAAAGAGAATTTGTATGACACACGAAATCAGAAAAAAATTTTTTTAATAATACAAGATTAAATTTTACAATTTTCATTTGTATCTATAGAACTGATTTCGTTATTCGAAAAAAAAAATGTATAGTTGACATTAGAAATATGTATAGATTATCACTTTATTTTACTGATAAAATGAAATTTTTATATTTGATTTAGTAAAACAACTAAAACTCAGATATTCGATTCAAAACAAAAATATGGATTAATTTAGAGTATCGAATTTATCATTAATATTAAAAAAAACAGAGGCACTCTCTGCCAAGTAAACTATAATTAAGTTTTCAATGCATCATTAATATTTAGTTCATGGTTTTTTTTTTTCGTTCTTCTCATTTAACTTCATATTCTTGTTATTGCTCAATATCATTTTATATACAGAAATAAGTAGAAGAAACGAAACACATTAATATTGTGGTCCAAAAATCGATGGATTATCTCACGTGAACTTCTCCATTGATCGCTTTCTTGGCCACATTTCTTTGTACATCATTATATTACATAATAGAACCAATTTTTGGATAGAAAAATGTTTCTCTGAATAGATGCTTTTAGTCGGACATTTACTATCATGCTCATGAAGTTCTCGAGTATTTTGAATAAGAAAGTTATACGATATGAACACATCTTGCGGTCTGTGTTTATGCAACACATGAAAAAAAAACGTTTTCGATTAGGAATGCTTATCTATCTAATCCAATGATTATGATGCCAGGAGAAGCATGATACATTATCCATCAATACCAGCTCGTCGAGACATCAGATATGTAATAATATAAATATGATATTGAGTTAGTGATATTAATAATGATTTCTAAGCAGGGTTTGTACTCATCATATAATTCTTAGAGTAAGAAGGGGTGACTTGGCGCAAGAAATTGAACTTTTTTCTTGTAATGTTCATAATTTTTTTACTTTAAGTGATAAAAAAAAATTTTTGGTACAAACTATATAGAGAAACTATTTCTCTATTCTATGGTGTTTTTTGTTTCTAAAAGTTTCTTCTGGTAACGTTTCCATGGTCATTTTAATGAGATCTACTATTAACTGTGTCAAATTATTCTATGTTTTGGAAACTTTTTATGAACATGACTAATTTGCTGAAGAACTTGCAGTCAATTTAATAAAAATATAGTGTTATTAATTATCATTGTCAAATCTAATGCTTATTTTTTCGAATGTATGTATCGCAAATGAGCATTTTACGCTACGATTGTCTTAAAAATGAAAAGTCTAAATATATTCATCCAAATGCAAACTTCACATTTCGAAACTTGAAAGTTATAAAACGTTATTAGAATCTTAGTAAATGATTCCATTCGTTGAATCATTGCCTCTGCAAAAGAGAATTTTACAGGCCTAGGTCTTTTTCAAGATAGAAACGAAGATAGTGAACAAACGCAGATGTTAGTCAGCCTGTCCACAGGTAATGCATTCACCCATTTTTGACCTTCTGATTGTTATAACTCGATAACTTAAGGTGACAAAAAGCTGAAACTTGCACTGTAGCAAGATATATGAAAGATCTAGTTTCACTAAAATTTTCATTTCATGTGATCGAACTGCGACGATTCTAGAAGGATAGAAAGTCGTGGTAACGCACTCGTTCAAAAGGATCCCTTCCATCAGAGCCATTCCATAATAGTTGCGTATATTTAGTATTGGACTGAAAATGTTCTAAGTCCATCAGTTTCCAAAGATTGTTTACTGTTGCTAGACTTCTGATTTGGTCAGGTTGATCCTAGCATTTATGATGATATTTTCAACGAAAATATTACTTGTAAATGAATGCAAATTCCACCAAAAACAGCTGGTGATATTCAACCACTGTCTTGTCATTGTTTTTCGACAATGGAAATATTTCAAACAAAAAAAAAATTTATGATCGCTTGGCCATTGATCAAATAAGTATTGATACTTGTTCTAGAAACTGCATTTTAAAAATGCATTCTTTGATAGATAATCAATTGGTAGCTAAATATTCTCGCCTTTGATCAAATATGCCTGGTATTCAAGTGACTATACGTCAAAAGATTCTGGTCATTTTGAGAGTGTTCATGATGTATGATCTTCTTTTGATAGAGATTTATGTTCTATGCCAGCATCCAATGACTACTCTTTCATTTGTTGTAGCCATTGTCAGCGTATTCTTTGGTTCGACCACTTTTTTTAATAAACCTTTTACTATCAAATAAGAGTTTCTCATTTTTATGAAATAGATTTTTCAGATCTTATGCGTACTTCAATTATGAATATCATGCTCATCTCCTACTGACATTTGTTTTTTGTAACATGATAAACTCTCGCATAATTTCAACCAACCATTGTTCAGTTTTGTGAGACATCTCATTTTTCAGCTAAAGATTTGTTTATATTTCTATCAATTTAATAGAAATTTACATTGTTTTATTTCTAGACTATGTATATAATCCCATAACAAGAATAAACCTAACAAAACTATTTTCTATTCGCCATCTGCTGAACAGCTGTTTTTCATTAATATCCATGCATATACATTTTTCATCTCACGAAAGAAGCTCATTTAGTTGTTAATAGAAAATATGTAAAACAAACGAAATTAGATACATTAAAGAAATTACAACTAAACAACAAAAAAAAAAGTGATGAACTAATCTATTCAATGATTTACATTGATATTTTGCACTCATACAGATAGAATGAGCTTATATTACATTTAGAAGATCATAACCTTGAGACTGAGATTTTGTTCTGTTGAGGAAGAATGTTTATATCATACTTTATTAAAAAACGAGTTTACCGATGGAATTAGATTTGATATATCTCAACTCATTTGAAGACATGAATATCATCATCTAAGATATCTTATTAAATCAAATAATAGATAAAATTTTTTCAATTTTGATTTGTATTTTTCTTTCTCTATTATTTTTTATTTTATTTAATATATCATTCAATACAAATCAAATCATGAATAAACGATAAGAGAATTTTCTACCAATTACTGTAGAACTGACTAATACCACGTTTCCATAATTCTCGATCTTGTCTATACAATAAATAAATCTAATAAATTATCAAGTTTATTTTTTTTTGTCTTTTATTTACTTTGTTTCATCAAATTTAGCATTATTCATTTCACGTAGAACTAAAAGTAAAATTTATTGTTAATAATATTATATTTAAATAAATCTTACAATTGCATAAACGAGTTTTTCGAAATATGCACATATTTATATAATCAATATATGTTATCGAACTTTTCAGACGATTTATTCTTTGTGATAATGCACTTTGACATTGAACATGATCTAAAATAAGTATATTATTTCTTTTTATCAACACTATTGTATACTTACTAAAAGATAGAAAAAATAATGCAAAAAGAATCAAAAATAAATACCCAAATAATTTTTGCATATTGAAATTATCTATAGAAATGAATTTGAAAAATAAAAATCTTTTCTTTTTTATCATTCAATTTTTAATTGAAATTTGATTCCATCTGTACAAACAAACAATCCACATTGTTGTAAGTGAGATCCTCTTCTTACTTTGGTATATAAAGAGTATGAAATAAGTTTTAATTCTTTCATGAAATATTGTCCAGTCATATGTTTTTTGTGTAGACCGAAGATGATATTTACAGTAGAGACATTAGATGTTTAGATCTACTCTAGGCTAGAATTCCATCTTTTTTGCCTATTATTGTTATAGATATACAAGTGATGTCAAAATTATAAAAAAATGTTTCGAATTAGTTTTGAAATCATCATGATTGAGAAAAATTATAGTCATTCGATCAGTCACTCACTACGAGTAACATTTGCTTTTCTGCATATAACTCTTGTGTTCTATAATTTGTCCATGTCATTATGAATGCAAAAAAAAAAAAAGAATTATACGACCCATACGAAGGAACTACATGAAAAGGCATTGACGAATGTACTAGTTCTGAAATAGATGATACAAAATTAGCTGATATTTGGTCAACTGAGAATGAATGATTTGACAATGAATTAGAATTAAATGATCGACTAATACAATAATGGAGAATATTTATCATTTGTTTAAGAACAATTCGATTTGTAAATCTCCTTTCGAGCAATACCTTTATGTAACAGTACTAACAAAACTTTCTATGACTTGGACATCACTTGTATCTCTGTAATAATAATATGCAAAAAGCTGAAATTCTAGCATAGAGTAGATCTAGATGTTTAATGTGTGTACTGTGAATATCAACATCGACCAATACAGAAACATATGAGAAAACAAAATCGCATGAGAGGATTAAATCTTATTTTACATCTCTTCATATATACTACTAGATCAAACTAATGTATATAAATAAGTGTAGGAGTGATCGCATTTTCAATTACCTATCTCATTCATTGCATGTTGCCAAAGCCATTTTATACATGCAATAAAACGTATACATTCAATTACTGCTGCTGTTGACATAAACTGATTAACTTATTACTCAATTTTCTATCTATCTATATATTAAATAATTTAGAAAAAAAAAGATTATTTATTTTTTGAAAATACTATATTAGAAATTTCTCTATGTTATATAGAAGATTTTTGTTTTTTAATAATCGAAATTCATGTCGGTTCGCACAATGTGAATAATATGAATTCGTGTATGAAGATAAATAAGTAATTTAAGCATACACAATAAATATATCCTCATAAATAAAATATTGTTTTTGAATAACAGACAGAAAGATAATACTTACTTGTAAGTTAATTAGAGGTATGTAGAAATAAGATTTTTTTTTTCGATTTCATGTTCGATATTTAAAACTAAATTAAATTCATTTTTTCAATCAACAAATGATTTTTCTCTCTAAGAGATATATTATGTAAAATGAGAATAGAAATAGTTTAATATCTGACATGGGTCAAATTTTTGTGACGCGATCCAATTCGAATACTGACAACAATCAATGATATTTTTCATGCAGTTTATAAACAACAAAAAAAAACTTCTTCTCTTTCATTCCAATAATTTATCGAGTCAACTTTTTTTAATCAGCAGTAAATCAACACGTGTTGATATGATTTGATGTTACTAACTATTCACACAAAAACAATGAGATGTTACATCAAACACTATTGCTATTGTCTGATATTGGTTGTTTTCTCTTTTAAATATGCACGATTAGTCCATCTTCTATTTGTATGTGTCTCATGGGATTATAAATATGCGTCCACTGTTGAAAACGAAGAGGTGTTCACAGAGAGAGATTTCACTGTAAATCATTTGTTGTCATTGGACTATTAAATTTACTTGTAACAAGTATAAATGATGACACTACAGATTCGTGTATCTTGAATTTTCTAATGAGATAATTCATCGATATAATAAAATGAAAGTAGAATTTGTCCATTAAATATCATCTATCATATTTTTATGTATGTAGGACACAGCAAACAGCGCTATGTTTATCGTTGCAAAAAATTCTAAGACGTGAGATTTGATATTAGGTATAGAGTTTTGGATTAGATTTAGTTTCTAATATATGGATTTCATATTAAATAACCAGAATCACTTGAATTTTGATAAGATAAGGTGTTATCTGTTTTTGGAAATAGTTCAGTTTAATTTAAAAGAACTATTATCAAATTATTCAAATTTAAACATAAATCCAAATAGCGAAACTATATGTCCAATATTAACTCACGAATCTTGCATGTTTCATTGTAAAATTTAAAACATTTGTGTACATATTTTTAATACTGTCGTATGTCTATTTATAAAAATAAAACTTGTAGTTTTTCAAATTTGAAAATTTTCGATAATAGATATCGCCTTCCATGCCTTCGTTATAATTTCATCATCTTAATTACAATGTAGTTTATGTGTTCATAATATGACATCATCATATGTATACCAGAGCTGTTACTAGACTACTTTTTTTTTGTAACCTGATCTGACTAGGAATGTCTGCAGGTCACAATAGATCGATTGATGTTTCTGATTTTTCAAATATATTTAATTATATTACTCTGCATTATTGTATCATTCTAGTATTTATTTCTATAAAGATAAGAAAATAAAAAGTTCTTGTATGAAATATCAAATTAAAAGAAAAAAATTGTTATGATAAATACTTTTCATAAAAGAAAAGCTTGAATTAACGCAATATTTTTGATCATATCAGTTCTATTTTATATAATCGAAAAAAAATGTTATCGGAATACTAAAAACCACATATGATTTGACATATAGTGAAGAGATTAAAGAAAATGTAGTATGTAAAAAAATATTTACATGTGATAATCAATTTTTGCAATAGCACAAATGTAAAACCTACTATCGAATTATTTTTAATCTAAACAAATTCTTCTATCAATCAATGTAACTCCTACAACACTAAATTGACGTTCAGTTTAAATATTTATTGCTGAAATCGAACGAATTTATCAAAATACTCTCGAATATTAAGACACATTTGATTGCCAAAACATACGAGCCAGACCGACAGCTTTGATATGTATATATAACAACATACTTATATGTCATATGTGACATGAAAATTTATTTGAGTTTAGAACACAGACACAAATTGAAAGTAAGCAAAAGTTTTATAAACAATACCATATATAATTCACTGGTACAATAGTTAACAAAAAAATCATGCTACATCAAATCTAAAAAACAAAAAATATAAAGAATAAATATTTTATATTATATTTCTTTTATGTTTACAAATAAAAGTGAAATAAGAAATTCTTATTGTATATATTTCAATTTTTTGATTGCTCTATTATATTGATAATATATGAGGCATAATTTATTATTGTATTCAAATTTCAGAATTTATAAATAATTAGTTTATAATGATTTATGATATTATTTTGTAAATATTTGTACAGTTTTTCTTTCACACTTGCTGCACTATATTGCAATAAATATCTTTCATCATCGATATGTATTAACAATAGATAGAAAGTCATAAATCGAAACATATATTGATTAATCTCCTCTTTTATAATATCAGCAACTTCATCATGTTTTACATTTTAATCCTGGAGGGATTGTGCTAGTAGCCTTTTTTTAATATTAAGATGCAATCTCATATATTGATCTAGCAAGTAGAATACTGTTCAATTAATATTTCATGATGTGCATAACAAATACTTATTAATTTGTAGTACAACAATCAGCTGCGATTAATAACCACTAAAATAAACATTTTTTTTTCCAAATTTTGCTCTTGCCTATTGAACAAAAACTAAACTATTTTACTAATTATTGCAATCATATCAATCATCCAATGTCACCGTTATACAGCAAGAATATATATTCTATACAAAAAAAACAAAACAACTACTTCTGAATTATTGATTATGTAGCCATCAATTTATTAATTATAAATCTTGTAACTATCTTTGCCTATCTTAATCATTGATATATATATATCTAGAGTGGCTCATAAGTAGTTTTACAATAAAAATTTGAATATCTACATTTTGTTTCACTCTATAGAGCTAATTGTTTTTTCTGTAATAGAGGAGACTTTAGCGTTTTTTTTTCTATAAGAATAACATTTAAAAATATCATCATTGACTTCAATAATAAATTTCTATCTTTTACAATGTTGATGATAGTCCTAAGAGATCTATGTGTGCATATATTCATCTTTCAACTAAAATGTTCGATCGTGTGTTTCGTTCTGTGATGGGTAGTTTTTTTTTTTCTCTCACCATTGATATAGATATCTATCTTGTCTTAAGTAAAAGCGAGAGTTATTTTGACTTGCACATTCCCTATTCAAAAAGCAATTAGCCCCATAGAGTGAAACAGAACGGAGATATTGACATTTTTTATTGTAAAACTACTTATAGACCATTCTGTATATACTATAACAATAAATGAATCAAATTATTGATAAGTATATTTTCTTAAATATATATTGATGATACTTTGTATATCTACACATTCTTCTTGACTTTTTAATAAAATACTAATAATCAGTACTAATATAGAACAAAAATTGAAAAGAACAGAAAACATGAATTCATCATTTCGATCTTTTTTTTAAAACATTTCTTCTATAAATTTCTATTTACAATAATCGAACAAATGATAGTCGAATTTAATAATGTGTATACTTGTTGAACATATCTATTTCTTCCATTCAATTGAGGAACAAATAATTGTAATTTTTATTGCTAAAGAAAAAAGAAACACTCGCAATATATAATGATGTATTTTACTGGTTCAAAAATGTTATAAATAAAGCTAAAAAACAAAACCTAATAGCAAAAAATTATAAAAAGATCGAATGCATCTTTGTCAATGTGTTTTTTTTTGTTCTTATTATTCAAGGTTATTAAAAAAAAGAAAAAGAAAGATGGACATATGATGATATCAAATCACACTTCTTTTTTGCGTCGTTTTATATGTCTTTCTAGCTCATTTTCCCATTAAGACAAAAGAAAACGAGACAATGTCGTTGAATCTGACTGTCTAATCAAAAAGGCAAATCACTTCGCTTCAGTGACAACTGGAATATAAACGAGGGATTCAAATAAGACAGAATGAGAGAAACAAATGTTAATTACTAACAGCATATAATCTGAGTAGGAACAGATTTCTTCAAACCAAAAAAAAAAAAAGAAAGAAATTCATCTCTCTCGGTTCAGTAATGATAAACAACAAAAGAAAGACTTCGAGGAAAAAAAATATATGAATAGATAGAACTGATCTTCATTTATTCGGTTTCTTCAAACTGACAAGAAGTACAATAACATTCTTGCTATTGTGCTTTTGTCGAGTTTTATAATAATATCTATTTTTTTTTTGTCCACAACAATCATTTAGATCATTTTTAACGTCAGTACAATTATTATTATCAGTGTACAGCGTCATTTAACGTGTCTATACAATGAGTTCAACAACACCACCAAAGCATCCATCAATGCCTTTACTTACAAAAAAGATAACATCATCAGCTAGTAATAGTTCAACATTAGGAACAAGTACTAATACACAACGAGCTACATCTGATGAAGATATTGCTCATAGTGTTGAAGCACCATTGGCAAGAGAATCTTCAAGTGGTTTTAATTATCAAACATTAACAGAAACATCTCCATTAAATGAAACAAAAACAAAAACTAGACCACCAGTTCGTTCACATAGTTCAACAAATGCTGAACTTAGTTATCATTTACAACAATTAAAAAATTTAAGTAAACGTAAACCAACACTTAGTAATGATGATCGTAATAAAAATGAAGAACGTATTCGTTTAACATCATCAAATCTTAAAATTGTATGTAATGAAAATGGTAACGAAACATCATTACTTTCAACAATGGAATTAAAAACAATGGAAACAAGTATTGATTTACCTGTTTCATGGAAACCAGCTATACAACAAGTTACTATTCCAAGAGATTCATGGGATCATAAAATTGAATTTCTTCTTGCTGTTATTGGTTATGCT